AAAGAAAAAAAAAATGGAAACAAAGTCTATGTAAATAGGGAAGGGTGGAGGGGGTGAAGGGCGCACAGGTAATGGGGAAAAAATAAGAACCAAGAAACATCATGTACAAGTACAAGCACCCAATGATAAATGTAAACGTATTGTATACCTAAAATGTACCAATAAATATATAAATTTTAAAAAAAGAATTTTAAGACCTCCAAAGTTTTGACTCTTTAAGCAGACAAGCAGATGTTCCAACACTCAAGAGCACATCTGGCAAACACATCTCACCTGGACTGTGGGACTGTCTTATCCACAAACAGGAAGATTGCCTTTTCAGAAGGAAGCTGGATCCTTTTCCTGATGATCCACATGAACTGAGCCACAGTGATGTCAGATGGAACCAAGTACTTCCGTTTGTCAATGTCAACAATCTGAGAGCCTGAGACTTTTTCCACAATCACCTGGGGAAGTAAACAGAGGTCAGCCCTGGATTTCCCAAAGTGAGGCTCTGGCCTCACAGACAGGGAGCTGATGGACAGAGTGAGGGCAAGTAGGTGGGTGGGAAACTGCATAGCATGAGAAAATACGCCCATGGCTTTATAAGCCACACACTCTGGAGGTTAAGAATTGATATAAATGTGTTGTAGAGAAAGGTAAATGCTTTTCTGTGGTCAATTATATCTCTCATCCCTGGAGTGAGAAATACTGCTATTAAGCTTTTCAACATTTTATCTAAGCAGCTGGGCGTGGTGGCACATACCCATAATTCCAGAACTAAGGAGCCTGAGGCAAGAGGATCACTTAGGGTTTGAGGCTAGCCTGAAGTACATAGTGAGACCCAGTCTAAAAACAAACAAAAAAATAAAACACATTTTGCCTGGGGAGACACAAAAATGTATGTGAGAGTTTTATCTGTAGCCTGTTTCTCCAGGACTCCAGAATGGACCCAGGCTACTAGAAAATTAAAATACCAAGGAACAAAAAGAAATAAAAATGGATGGACTAAAAGGAATGCTTGGCAATCTCAGCCAGCCAAGAACCAAATCTTTCACTTGGCCTGTTGTTTCTCTCTGAACCCATTTTGAATCTGTCCTTATAGTTCTCTCCCAAAAGGAACTGTTTACAAGCAAAGAGCTACAATAACAGGTCTTGGTGTCCTTTAAAAATCAATAAGGAGGGCTGGGGATTTAGCTTAGTGGTTTCGCCGCCTGCAGTGCAAGCACAAGGACCGAGTTCAATCCCCAGTACCAAAAAAAAAAAAAAGTCAATAAGGATAACAAAAACTATCTCCCCCACCAAAAAGGAACAGAAGATCACATTTACTGGTTAAAGGGAAAAGGGGTTTTCAGCAGCTTTTCAGATCTTTTTTGGTAAGGCAAGATGACAGCCTCAGAGGAAAGAAAGCTAAAAGTTAAAATAGAGATTCAACGTTAAAGACGAATGACCTGAGACTAAAGTACCACTTATAAGACCTAAGTGACAGTCTGAGGGAGACTGTCTCCACCAGTGTTCCCCAAAGTGGCAATGAACTGTTGCCCTGTCCTAGAACATGTTCCTTACATAATTGGCGAGGGAGCCCAGAGGCAGCAGGCAGCCCGCTGGCCTAGATCGGGAGATTCAGCACTGGGGCGCCCGAACAGCACCAGCCCCAGCCCTACACGCCCTGGTCCCCGCCAGCCCCAAACCAAAGCCGCCAGTCTGCTGATGTAACTGGGACCGGAACTTCCAAGTCTACTGTTGAATGATGCAGGGCCCTAACACCGCTCCTAGAAAACAGGGGTGACAGCGGGGTGAGGGGACGGGGAGTCTAAACACTCACCGGAACTCGATCAGGATATTTCGCTCGGATCTTCGCGGATTCTACGCATCTGTGTTCTGTGAGAGAAACACAGCGCGCTGACTGTCCCACCTGCCAGCCTGCGGGTTCTCCATTCCCGGGCCCCTAGCCCTCCTCCCCGCCGCGACCTGCGCACGCTGCGAGTCCTCGTTCGGGCGTCCCCACAGCCGCTATCCCGGGTCCCCTCGCTCCCGAAAGGCCCGTGGAAAGCGGTCCGCCAGGGATGGTGGGGCCTCGGCTACTGAAGCTCAGAGCGCAGCATCCGCCCCGCCCGAGCTGGCCCAGAGCGGCCCGAGTGGGGGAGGGGAGGGGGGCCCACCCGCCGCTCCGCCCCCGCATCCGCCGGCAGTCTATCGCATACCCAGTGAGTGGTCCTCCTTGAACATCCACTTCATGACGGCGGCGGGGAGGGGACCGAGCCGGCTCTCTGAGCCGCGAAGTTCAGCGAACCGACCACAACAACAACAGCGGCGACGGCAGCGACAGAGGAGACTACACGACAGGCGGAACTTCCGGCTGCCCAAGCCTAGCAACTGATTGGGGGCGGGGCTTCCGGCGGCGTTCATCGGGGCGTCGCGCCAAGGGGTGGGGCTGCACGTTTAGGGACGGGGCTTCCGGCGCTCGCCCGCGCGTTGCGCCAGGGGCGGAGCCACACGGGAAGCGGAGGCGGAGGACTGCCACCCTAGGAGCCACGCGGCCGGGGTGAGGACGGAGAAGTTGCCGAAAGGTGGGTCGGTGAACGATTGTGGCCACTTGGGGAAGGAGTGTTCGAAGAACTGGTGACGGAGCGGCTTTTAGGGGCGGCGGGGAACTGGAAGTGTAGGTGTTTTTCGTGGGGAAAGTTCGCGGCCTTGGCGACAAGGTGTTCAGGTTATGAGTGACCGATGAGGGTTTTCTAGCTATTGGCTTTGGCAGGGGGGCAGATTACGGCGTTGACAGTTTGAGAAGAATTGTTTGGTGTGGGCAGGCCAGCTGGGGGCTCGAAATTGGGGGTGACTAGTTTGCGGGCCCTGTGGGGGAGGGGTAGGCTAGCAATCCGGAAGTCTGGCTTTGGAGGCCGCCATGATAGACTACCTTGGATTGAGAATTCATTTAAACAATCCCGTTTCCGTAACTCGTGAATAAATACTTTTCGAGGGAATTTGTTTTATTTTAAATTTTTATTAGTATTGTTTGGAGTACAAAATTATTATATTCACCATATTGAGTTCATAGATGTACAAAATCCTTAGTTCTTTTTATGCCTCCCCGGTGATTAAGTATTCAAATATTACGAAAAAGAATCCCAGATGTGTTTGAGAAAGGTAATAGCAGTTGGCACAGAGACCGTTTACCCTTAACTCAGAGGCAGAAACCCCCTGAGAGTTGCCCTCGTCTGGCAGTGGCAGCGGCGCAGCAATCATAACCTAGTTCCTGTGTGTATCACCTGCCTAGATCTATACTGTGAGGTTCTCCAATCAATGATGTAATTTCTTTCTTGTAAGCAGAGTCACCAGTCTGGTTGGGTCACCATCTGTTTATGAGCTGGTGAACATGTAACAATAATTAGGCACATGATTCTTGCCATGTGCATGTGATTCTGATGCATCTATCAGGCCGGTATATTTGAACATTGTCACACATTTCTGACAGTTGAAATTCCTCAGGAATGCTTTGGAATCTAGCTTCATTCTGAAAGTATTTTTTGGCCGGAAGTAGTGGCGCATGCCTGTAATCCCAGCACTCCACAGGCTACGTGGTAGCGGCCAGCCTGGACTACACAGCGAGTTCAAGGCCAGCCTGAGCTACATTGTGAGACCCTATCTCAAAAAACCAAAAAAAGAAAAGTATTTTTATTAAGATTGTATGTCAGGGTGGGGATGTGATTCAGTGGTAGATCACTTGCCTAGCATGCTCCAGGACCTGGGTTTGATCTCCAGCACACATACACACCCCAAGACTCAAGAATTCACTTCAGAAGGCTACTGGGGAAAATGAGATATGTTAAACAATTATTAGGAGATAAAATCAAAGACTCAACAAAACTGGAGTTGAATTCTGTGCAAAGAAAATGAATTTTATTAGAATTAGAGAAGTGGAGGGTTTTTTGTTGTTTGGCGCCTTTTTTTTTGAGATGGGGTCTCACTCGATAATTCAGGCTGGCCTTAAACTCTCTAGCCCAGGTTGGCCTCGAATTTGCTGCGATCCTCCTGCTGAGTCCTGGGATTATAAGTGAACACCTCCACACTCGGCTAGTAAGTAGAGGTTTTTAACCAGAGATACAGTACATCTTGACTTTAAAGTGATCAGTCTAAGTTAGGAATGTAACTCAGTGGTAGAGCATGTGCAAGCCCTGGGTTCAATAAAGAGGTTATTATGATAATCCAGGTTGAAAGATAATGTTGCCTTAGATAAGATGGTATCCGAGGAGGTAAAGGAAAATAATTGCATTCTGAATATATTTTGAAGATACAGCTGACAAAATTTGCTGATAAATTCAATGTGAGGTGTGAAGGACAAAAAGTCAGGGTTTTGTGGAGGATGAAATTGCCACCCAGTGCAATAGAGTGGAGCCAGTTAATGGATGAGAATCAAGTGTGGTTTTAGATATATTAAGTATGAGATGCCCAAGAGACACATCTAAGGTATACAATAAGGTGAATGACTCTTTAAATCTCAAATTCAGGAGAGAAGCATTTAAAGCTATGAAACTGGATGGGATTTAGCTAGACAGTGAAAAAAATGAAAATACCCTTTCAGAATCAGTGGAGGAGTTAGAAATTAGAATCAGAGCCGGGGGTGGAGCTCAGTGGTAGAATGCACTCCTAACATGCACAAGGCCCTAGGTTAAATCCTCAAAGGGTGTGGGGGGGAGGGGAAGGGAGAAAAATAAATTGGAATCAAGATTTCTGCTTCCTTTTACAAAGCCAGTTACTGTGATACAGTCCACAGCACATGTATATCACTGCAATGTGGAAGAGCTAAGTATACTTCTCAGAGAAAGATGTATTGCTCAGCATTTCATAGGCGTTTCTTCTCATGGTCTTACCGATCTGCAGTGTCTTTGTCTTCTGTCTGTATGTGCTTTCTCCGTATCTTTTTTCAGTTTCTTTTTTATTTTTTGGTACTGGGGATCGAACTCGGGTCCTTGCGCTTGCACAGCAGGCGTCGAAACCACTGAGCTAAATCCCTGGCCCCTCAGTTTCTTTCTGATTGGCTTCTCTGATCTGCTTTGATATGTATCTATCACCTTCTTCACTTATTAGGTCATTGTATTTAGTTTATTGAATGTTATAAGGATACTAAAAGCCTGCCTTGAGGGGGTGAATAGTTGAGGTAAGTCAGGAGGAGAAATGGAATAATGGATATATGCAGCTGCACATGAACAAACCTATTAAACATGCAGGATGAGATGCAAACGTTGGAGAGGCACAAAGCCAAGTGAGGCTTACCAAGAGGGTCTTCACGGAGAATGTGAATCTTCTGATGCAGAGAGAAAGGTATATATTTCATAGGTAAGCTTTCCAGATAAAAACAAAGGGTGGGATAGGGCAAGGGAATGAAAAAGTATAATGTAGATAAATGCTAAAGTAAAAGAAATCCTGGGAAGCCTTGAAGCTAGCACTCATGAGTCCTAAATTTACTTGAGAATTCTTTAATTCCTGATAGGAAACAGTATTAAAATGTGTAGATTTAAGAGATTGACTTTCGTGTGCTTTTTGTTCCAGCTCAGCCATGGCTCGTGGTCCCAAGAAGCATCTGAAGCGAGTGGCAGCTCCAAAGCATTGGATGCTGGATAAGTTGACCGGTGTGTTTGCTCCTCGTCCATCCACCGGCCCCCACAAGCTGAGAGAATGTCTGCCTCTTATCATCTTCCTAAGGAATAGACTTAAATATGCCTTGACAGGGGATGAAGTAAAGAAGATTTGCATGCAGCGCTTCATTAAGATTGATGGAAAAGTCAGAACTGATATAACCTACCCTGCTGGCTTTATGGATGTCGTCAGCATTGAGAAGACAGGAGAGCATTTCCGTCTGATCTATGACACCAAGGGTCGCTTTGCTGTTCACCGTATTACACCTGAGGAAGCCAAGTACAAGTTGTGCAAAGTGAGAAAGATCTTTGTGGGCACAAAAGGGATCCCTCATCTCGTGACCCACGATGCTCGCACCATTCGCTACCCTGATCCACTCATCAAGGTGAATGACACCATCCAGATTGATTTGGCGTCTGGCAAGATCACCGATTTCATCAAGTTCGACACTGGTAATCTGTGTATGGTGACCGGAGGTGCTAACTTGGGAAGAATCGGCGTGATCACCAATAGGGAGAAGCATCCCGGCTCTTTTGATGTGGTTCACGTGAAAGATGCCAACGGCAACAGCTTTGCCACCCGGCTCTCCAACATTTTCGTTATTGGCAAGGGCAACAAGCCGTGGATTTCTCTTCCTCGAGGAAAAGGAATCCGCCTCACTATTGCTGAAGAGAGAGATAAGAGGCTGGCGGCCAAGCAGAGCAGTGGATGAAATGGTCTCTAGATGACATGTTGGAGAAGTCTGCTTAATTAAAGATAAGAGTGTGATTTAATAAAGAGTGTCCTTTTTTTTTAAACAATAAAACCACAAAGATTACCTTTCACATATGACATCTCCTGGGAGGCTATAGTATTTCATACACCTAAATCCTTAGCAGTCACTTCCCTCTGTTTCAGCAGTGACTTAGTTGTAGTGCGGTTCTTTCTGTTGAAACGCTGAAGCCAAACATTTCATTCACAGAGAACCACCTTCAGGAGTCTATAGCAGATCTGTTTATTCCAGAAGACCCTTATTTTAGTGGATAAATGAAAGTTTATCCTTAAAGCAGAGATAAAAGCCTGGCATAGTGTTTCATATCTATAATCCCTGCACTCAGGAGGCTGAGGCAGGAATGCTGTGAGTTCAAGGTCAGCCTGGGCTACGTAGTTAGATTGTCTCAACAAATAAAGGGGCTGGGAATTTAGCTCAGTGGTACTATACCTGCCTGGCAAGGGCCTCGGTTCAATTCTTGGTACTGGAAAAAAAGGCAGAAGATGTAGCTCAGGCTGGAGACCTAATTCATCAGAAGTTTTAATATATAGTCTAAATCATAGGACAAGATTTAAGCCTTATTTTAAGAGTGACAATGGGTGATCAAAATACACAACAAATGTTAAAAATTTTTCAGTAAATCGCACTGCCATTAATCCCTCAACTTCCCCTTGCTTCCATCATCCTTGCCACTTTCTGAAGCAGTTCTGGAAGTCTGTCTTCACAAAGTGGTAATGCTGCTGCCAAGTGCCATCTAATGAAAAGGCAGGGTTCCAAAACATTACAGTGTATTCTTATTCACTAGATCTTGTGCCACACAATTTCAGGATTTGAGGATATTCAAAGTGGAAATATTTTGGGGGGTTGGTTTGGATTTTGGTTTTTTGAGACTTGTCAAGCTGTGTAGTTCAGGCTGTCTTTGAATTAACTAGCCCAGGCTGGCCTCAAATTTGATGACCACCTCCTGCCTCAGTCTGCTGAGTGCTGGAATTACAGGCATGCACCACCCCACCTAGCAAACATTTGAAATACGATGTGGAGGCAACCACCACAGCACAACTAGCATCAGGTATGAGAGGCCCTCCAGAACTGCTTCAGAAAGTGGCCAGAAGAGTGTGAAGGAAGCAGTATTTTAGGGGGTTAAATTTAAAACTTTGCCATATTTTTCGATTCCACCTTGTATATTGCCACTCCTGAAAAGCTTTCAAATGAGAATGAGTAGTACTGGATCAGAGGAGAGGTCAGAAGCATCTTCATGGACCCTGAAATCGTTTTTGTTCAAATGAGCAGGCCTTTATGTCGGCAGCATCTCAATTCTCTTCCTCTAAAAGACAGATTGCCTTGGAAATAGGGTTATCAATTACCGGACTCCACTCTGAGCACAAACCTCACACTACCTCCTGACAGCACTGTGATGCTTCAGGGCCTTTTGAAGAACTTGGCTATGGATCGGGTTTTTTAAAAATCTGCCCTGTTCGATACGAGTTAAAGGTGGGGGGACCGTTCGAATATACTGTTAGCTTTGGGCAGAACCATAGCTTCCAAGGTAAATACATCAGAAAGAGCTATGTGATAAACCCTCTCTCTCCAAAAGCCAGGAGACTATCGATTCCCTGGCTTCCCTGCTGTGGAATATAGAGGAAGCAACAATACTGGGAGGCAAAGGCACCTGGGTTTTGGTCTTAGCCCAGGTCCTGGGCCAGGATTGCGCCGGGTTCCCGAGAACTGTTGGACTTCAGTATGAACCGTATTGGGAGTTAACAGATGACCTGTACGGAGACTCATACTGTAGGTCAACTTTTAACATCTTATACAATTATGACAGAATGGTGAATGGTAAAGCGCCGCTTCCGCTCCGTCTCCGAAGACGCACGCACTACGTAACACACACACCCGCCCCGCCCGCCCCCCCCGCGCCTCCGTTCACCCCATCCCTGCTGAAGCCCAGCGTCCTTGCTATTGGTTCCTTTCTGGCCGTCGGTTGCCGTGGAAACCACGGCGACGACGGCAACCAGGAGAAGCCAAACGTGTTCATCCCTTTGGAATCGCGCGGGAGCCCCGGTGTACAAGTGGTGCTCATGGCGCTCTACGAGCTCTTCTCCCACCCGGCCGAGCGCGGCTACCGTGCGGGGCTCTGCTCCAAGGCCGCGCTGTTCCTGCTGCTGGCCGCCGTGCTCACCTACATCCCGCCGCTGCTGGTGGCCTTCCGGAGCCACGGTGAGCCTGGCCCGGCGGCGCGCGACCCTACTGCCCGTGGGCCGCGGCCCGGCGGGCCTCCTGACCTCCTGACCTCCCCGCCGCCCTCTCTAACTCAGGGTTCTGGCTGAAGCGCAGCAGCTACGAGGAACAGCCGACCGTGCGCTTCCTGCACCAGGTCCTGCTCGTGGCCCTGCTGCAACCCGAGCAGGGTGGGTTCCTCTCCTGGAGCACGTTCCCCGCCTTCAATCGGCTACAGGGAGGCCGGCTGCGCGTCCCGCTCGTCTCGGTGCGTGGTTCCCGACCCGGCGGGCCGGGGTGGAGAGGGGCGCGGCCCCGGGGACTCCAGGGACCCTAGCGACTCGCGGGCCCACGGCGCTTGTAACGTGGCCACTCTGGCTAGCGTTCCTCGAGAGTAGACCTGTCGTGCTTCTCACTTTCTCCCTCACGTCCACGACTCCCAGAACCGCCCCGCCGTGCGTGTGTGCGCGGGGACTGCGGAGCCTGGGGACCGCCGGCCTCCTGGGCATTTCCGTAGGCGTGGGCTGATGAAAGGGTGCATGTGATGCCGCTTGAGGGGCCTTGAAGGCCGAACTCTGTTACGCTAACCACAACCGTGTAGGGACCGAAAGGCAGTTTTTAAGCAGACTAGCTCTGTGGAAGCCAAAGAGCTGATTGGTTAAGCGACTTCTGTCCAGCTTGCGCTCTGGCCACGCCGCGCCCGTCTGCACTTGTCCCTTTATCTGCTACTCCCTCCTGCCGTTGTCCGGGTGAAATTAAAGCATTTTACTGTTTGCAGTTTAGTATTTGGTGTACCATAACCTTTACAGTCACTCTCTTTTCCATTCATTTTCTGAAAACATTTTCCTGTAGAAGTATGTATGAAAACCCTGGTTTTCCTAGCTGCAAAGTTGAATCTCTTCAGATAATCTCTAACATGCCTGGCCTACAAAGCAAACTTGTGTGAATAGGGAAAAAGGATTCAGACTTTTTCCTGCGACTAAGAAAGGTAAAAAAATTTAAAATATCTGAATAACTACAAACAAAATATGATTCAGATTACTTTAAAATATTTGTATTCTTTCTGATTACCAAAGTGTATACTCATTTTCAAATATTAAAGAGTTACAGGTGCTCATCGAGGTGGCTTATGCCTATAATCACAGCACTGGGGAGGCTGAGGCAGGAGAATCACTGAGAGTTTGAGACCAGCCTGGGCTTCATTAGTGAGTTCAAGGCCAGCTTGAACTACACAGTGAGACCCTGTCTCAAAAAACAAACAAAAAAGTTACAGATATAGATAATAACAGAAAATTAAAGGCTCAGTTTGATGCATGTATCAGTACTTGCTAATGAACTTTAGAGTATTTCAGGATATGGGAATACTGTGATGCATTCAACCCCTTCTTTGGTAGGTACTTGTGTTATTTCAAGTTTTCACTATTAGGGACAATATTTCAGTAAGATTTTGACTAAATGTTAAACTATATATGTTTTTAATTGGCTGATTGAATGAATGGGGACTGTAGGTCTCACTATGTTGCTCATGCTGGTCTCTAACTTCTAAGCTCAAGTGATCCTCCAGCCTCAGTTTCCAGAGTAGCTGGCATGACAGGGACATCATTATGCCCAGCTTAAATCTTAGACTCTTAAATGTCAAACTAAACAAGCAAATAAAATAATTATTAACTACAGAGAAACAAAAAGTAAGGAAGAGTGAGGAAGGAAATATCAGAGTTGCAAGTAGAAATGGCATAGTCTTAGTTATGTGAACGCTGAATTTTTTTTTTTTTTTTTTTTTTTTGGTACCAAGGATCGAACTCGGGTCCTTGCACTTTTGCAGCAGGCGGCGTCGAAACCACTGAGCTAAATCCCTGGCCCTGTGAATGCTGAATATTAACTGGCCAGTACCTGAGTTGAACTCTCTTGGGGGGTGAGAGAGGTGTGTGTGTGTGTTGGGCTCTGGTGGAAGGAGAGGGAAGCTAGATCTTCATCTCTCCTTGTGGGGACTCAAAACTGAGACCTGAAGAAGCCAACACAGATATCTGAAGATGTGGAGGTACCGTGCTGCATGCTCTAGTCAGGGAAAAACCGAGATAAAAATATTTGCTGTGGGGCTGGGGATTTAGCTCAGTGGTTCCAGCACCTGCCTTGCAAGCACAAGGTCCTGAGTTCGATCCCCAGTACTAACAAAAAATATATATTTTCTGTGGAAGCCACATGTATCCTGTAATATTATTGAATGCTTTGAATGATCAGATATTTTTATATTATTAAATAAAAGTAGAAGGCTAGGAGTGTAGCTCATGATAGAGCAGATACATCCTTGAAACCCTAGGTTCAGTCTCCAATGGACACACATTTTTTTCTCTCTTTCTTTCTTTCCTTTTTGAGACAAGGTCTCGCTATGTATTCCAGGCTGGCCTTGAACTAACTATGGAGCCCAGGCTGGACTCAAATTCACAGAGATCCTCTTGCCTCAGCCTCCTGAGGGACTACAGGCATGCACCATCATGTCTGGCATAGACACACAGTAGTTCTTTCAGTTGTTCCTCACTGATCATTGCTGTTTTTTTTTCTTATTTGAGATTATAATTTTCTGGGAGTGGGGGAGAGGGGCTGGATGAGAGCTAATGTGGAGGTAGACTTAGGGTTTTGTTTTAGGCTTGTTTTTGTTTTGTTTGGCAGTACTGGGGATTGGGCCCAGGGCATGCTAAACAAATACTCTACAGTAAACTACAACCCTAGCCCAAGGCAGACTTACTCTTCTCCATGTATTTACTATACTGCTTAGGTTCCACATTTCATATATTTCCTTTCCAGAAAGGAAAACACATTCTGGGGGGAAGTGGGAGCGTTGCTCAGTGGAAGAGTGCCACCCTAGGACACACGGCCCTGCCCTGCGTTCATCCAAACCTTAAAATAATTAACTTGCACATTTTACATTAAGATAGCATTTTGTGCCTGTCATGGTGATGCTCGCCTGGCCTGTAATGGCAGCCCTCAGGAAGGTGAGGCAGGAGGATCACCATGAGTTTGAGGCCAGCCTGCACTACATAGTGAGACAGACCCTGTTCAAAAATTAAAAAGGTAGCGTTTTGTGTCTTGAATTTTGGAAGCATTTTTTTTGGTTTACATTTGTATATCCCTCTCTGTCATACACTCCTGGTTATTGGAGTCTAAGAAATAGTAATGAAAACTTACAATAATCATGAAAATGAAAATAAGCATTAGGTTTCATTCCTTGGTTCATTTGTAGTTGTACAAGTTGACCTCTTATCTCTGTAAACAGAAACTTTCCCTTGGGGCACCGCCCATGGTCTCTCCACACTTCTGTATGCAGATTCCGATTTGAAACCCGAGAAGCCAAGGCAGCCTCTTACTTTTAGGGTACCCATACCGTCCTCTTTAATACTACTGTTGTTGTCATTGTCTTCGTTGTTGTGGTGCTCAGGGCCTTGCACGTGGACTGTGCCACTGAACCACATTCCCAGCCTGGATAGTTTTACACTGTTAGTAAAATGCAAGACCCAAACTCCTCTTTCTTAGTCTTTTTTTTTACTCTAGGTGAATGTCTATCTATAATTTATAACCTATTGTCTTTCTCAGTGAAGGATTTGTTTTCCTGGCTGAGCTCTTGGCCTAGGAATTATATGAAACCATGTGATAGCAAAAAAGTGAATTAGAAGATACTTTGGGGAAAAAAGACCTGAACAGCAACCCAAAAGATATTTGGGGCCCTATTTATCAAAACTAAAGGCACCCAGGCTGGGGATTTAGCTCAGCGGCGCCGAGCCTCCCTCTCAAATGCAAGGTCCTGAGTTTGACCCCCAGTACTGGAAAAAAAATTAAATGCACCTGCTTTATTTCCAGTAAGGTTTTTGTACATAGTGAATGCATATGTAAAACTGTTGATCATTGTAAACAAATCAATAGAAGATCCAAAGAAATTACACATCTACCCAGTGGAATGTGATGCATGGATTTGTTTGTTGGTACTGAGGAATGATCTCAGGGTTTCCCGGTGTGAGCTGCACCCACAAACCCACTGTTGGGTTTTTTTTGGTTTTTGGTTTTTTGGGGGTACCGAGCATCAAACTCAGGACCTCACGCTTGCCAGGCAGGTGCTGTGCTGCTGAGCAACATCCCCAGCCCTTTTTTTTGGTACCGGGATCGAACCCAGGACCTTTCGCTTGAGAAGCAGTCGATGGAACCACTGAGCCAAATCCCCAGCACCCCCTGTTGGTTTTTAATGAGGTGGATATATAAATACTGAATGGGATCCTCTCAAAGACGAATTGATGCATATAAAAAGCAAAAAGTTGCGTATGGCGTGCTTCCATTTCTATAAAAATAATAGAAAACCCTAGGAAAAAGCAGAAAGTGCAAACCTAGAGCTAGTGGGGAGGATAGCTCAGAACCTGACACTTTGGCTGGAAGCTTTGACAGCTCTGGGAGGACACAGGGGAAACTGACAACATTGATGGTTCCCTGGAAAGGAGCTGGATCACTGCGATTAGGGTGGGAGGAAAACTTTTTTACTTTATACCCTTTTGTACCTTTTTAATTTCATACCACAGGAAAGTAATGCATATTTAAGGTTTTTATTTAGTTAATTAATGAATTTATTTTTGCAGTGATAGGGCTTTAACCCAAGACAATGCACATGCTAGGCAAGCAGTCTGCCACTGAGCTACACCCCCAACCTCTAAGATTTTCAAATATTAAAGATAGTTATTTTTAAACAAAAAAAAAATAGGAAGTGCCTTTATAAAACAAAGGCAAAAAAGCTGGCATGGTGTTGCACACCTGTAAACTCAGTACTTGAGAGGCTGAGGCAGCAGGATCCCCAGGAGTTCAAGGCCAGTCTGGGCTACACAGTGTGGATCAGCCCTGGCTCACAGCTGAGCTATCCTGGCTCGGATCAGGATTTATTCCAGTTTCATCCAAGGGGTTTGAGAGCAGAAAGAGAAGATCAGCTCAGAGAGCTGGAAGCGGGCAATGGTTAAAGGGGTGGGGCAAATGGCCCAGTGAGTTCAAGGCCAGCCTAAACTGCATAGCGAGACCCTGTTTCAAAAAAAACCCAAAATACTGAACATTCTATGATCCAGCATTTCCACTCCTATTTAGATACCCAAGAAATCTGAAGTATGTCTGCACAAGAATGTGTGCACACATGTTCACAGCAGCATTATTCATAACAGCAGGGGGGGGACACGGAAACAACACAAATGGCCACAGGCAGATGCATGGATAAACAAAACATGGTACATGCACATACTGATTCAC